CTTTTAACTATTATCAACTACACGTCAAGGATGATTTAAAATCCGAAATTGTTACACTGCGCCCTTTATCACATAATCAGCAAAGGCAAAAACGTTTTATTTTATATATATATATATATATATATATAAACTATTATGCCTGGGAGTGAACGAAATCAATGAGTCGATTAATTAATCGGTTAAAGGATGGGATTACTCGGGTTACACGCGCGCATCACGAGATAAAAACGCGAGGCTTTTGCACATCGCAAAGCCTGACGTTTTCGTCGTGGGATGCGCGTGCCGGGAAGAAATCCCCGGGATTTCTCCCTCGTGTGAATACCCCTTTAAAGGGGTATCCACACGAAGGAGAAATCCGCGGACGGATGTCGTGACGTCAACAGCCCGGGAAACTCCGTCCCAGGCTCCGCCGCGTGCACCGGCGGAGCTTTCGTGCTGACAGAACGAAGCCTCCGCGCCTCCGCCACGGAGGAGAACGGCGGCGCGAGGCCAGCGAGGCGTCAAAAAGGGATGACGTATGTCTCACGTGATGCACGCTCCGCGGAGGAAAGGAGCGGATTTCTCCTTCGTGTGGATACCCCTTAAGGTGTATCCACACGACGGACCGGGCCGCGGACCGATTGATCACGTGATGCGCGGCCCGCGGGCCGCCCGGCTGCAATGAGCATCCACACGGCGGACCAAAAGAGCAGACGACAGAGCGAACGGGCCGGTCTAACCCTCGACCTCACAGCTCCGCCAAACGCATGCACCGAGCTGCTTTGAGGCTATTTGCAGGGATGGGCAAAATACATGCAAATATGTATCGAAATACAACTACAAAATACTTCGTCAAAAATATATTTAATTACAAATCTAATTAGATTCCCATAAAAGCATTTAAGTACAAGATACAAATACAACCAAATATATTTGGTCTCCTTCAAATACTTTTCCAAATACATTCCTCAAAATTTGCGTCAGCGACTTCAGTGCACCTGCAACGGGTTTCTGGGTATCTCATTTTAATTTTGCACCCCACACTCGGGAGTTAGTGTTCGAGGCTCTAGTAACGTAATAGAAATATAATCACAAAGAAATGTAATGAGCTTGGACGTAATAGGTGAAAAAAATACAGAGCTTCAAGCAGCTTTTTTTGTCGATTACATTTTGGTATAGACCAACAAAGAACCGAGACGACCAAGACGCGCAGCACTAGCAAGAGAATTTTTTATTGTTGCAACTCGCACCTGTTACGAAAATTTGGACGACCCGCGCATTTAGAATGTTCCAGGCAAAAATATGGAGGGAAATCAGGCTGGAAAGCATCACAAGTTGTCACAGGCACTTATTTAGCCAGTCTGCCTGTGAACGTCGATTTCGTCACTCTTCTTGCCCTGTACTAGCACCGTAATCACAGTCACTAATCGCTTGTGCTTGATTGAGAGACACTGCATTCGGTGCAGAACATAGTTTTCTGCCTGCACTGGACAGTGACAATAAATTTGAGGGATGTATTTTCGCCCACAAAATTGTATTTAATTGCAATTGTATTTGAAATACCCAGGTTTTAGTATTTAAATACACACGTGAAATACATTGCCCAATATGTAATTAAATACAAATGCAAAATACACAAAGTATTTGAAATACGTAATTCAAATACTTGTATTTGAAATACTGCCCATCCCTGGCTATTTGTAAGGAGCCAAGATGGAGGTTGAACGAAAGAGACGTTTGGCTGCGGTGGCCCTGGCGTTGACTCTTGAGAACGAGAAGGACTTAAGTGAAGCGAAAAAGGCACGGGGACATCTTTAGATGATTATTTGAGTAGTCGTCGCGAATATTGTCCCATAGAGCGGGCAATTGCTCCACGAGCGCGATGAAGTAAAAAGTTCCATCGTCGCACAACGAAAGGTTCGTCTTCTTCGTCTTCAACAGTTGGCGCCAGAAGAAAACGACTTTGGATTTGGATTCCAATCCAAACAACAAAAGTCAGCTTGTTGCCAGACTTAGCACTTCAATTATACTAAAAATGCCTCGGTCCGCCGCCAAGGTCCGGGCGAAAAAAGCGCTTGGCATTTCTCACAAGCGCGGGCCGCGGGCCGCCGGCGGACTTCGAAAAGTGGTGACGTAAGATCACGTGATGCGCGGCCCGCGGACCAAAACAGCAATTTGGTCCGTCGTGTGGATACACCTTTAGGGGCTAGCCATGTCCGTATGTCCGTCCGCCGGCGGGTGCACGTGCTCCTGCTCGTGAGCTCACGCACTCACGTGCTCACGAGCACGTGAGCACGTGCTTCCGTGCTCGTGTAGGGCAAAAAAACAACAACCGCATCTCCACGTGGTGAATGATGTTGATTGGGGCGAAGCTCTGGTTACAGTGTTCTCTGGTGGTGCTTGTCTGCGTAGACGCTGAGCCGCAGCAGGCCGAGCCTTTCGTTCGTTTTCATCCATGTCAGAAAGAGAATGTGTGGTATAGAACGTGGTTATATACGCATTTGAGCATTTGACCACAGCGTGACATGGATGAAAACGAACGAAAGGCTCGGCATGCTGCGGCTCAGCGTCTAAGCAGGCAAGCACCACCAGAGCTTCGCCCCAATCAACATCATTCACCACGTGGAGATGGGGTTGTTTTTTAATAGACGCCCAGCCCTAGTTACAACTCGGGTATACCGTACTGATGTATCCTACCTCCGTGATTTCACACAACGTATACAGCCGTGTGGGTCGTAAACTTGTAACTTAATTACCTTCGTTCGGATCTAGAAGGTCTCGCTTAGAGGCCTTGCATAGCACGTTGCTTTTTGGCGGCGCACTGCTTGAAATGTAGTGAGCACTTTAGAACGCGAGCTTATTGAATTGGAAAGAGATTTGATGAGCACGAGCACTCTCGCTACCTCATCTCTACCCAAACCTACGCGCTCGAGAACATGCTTTTTTTTTTTTTTTTTTTTTCAGTGCTGCACATTATTAATGATACTAAATATATCACCTTGGTTCTTTCTCCTTTCCAGTCATTTTTTCTTCAACTACTACGATAAAGTTGGTGATGCGGAAAACTTGCAGTAGTGTTGCAATATATTGTTTGAAGATATCAAATGTCTATTCATTTCTTAAAAGTATTTGAACATAAAATTTTTATAACGTGATAGTAATTTTTAACGTAACGAGTAAAGGAATCAATTAACTTTTGACGATCGTAATTAGAAACGGTAAGCCATTACATTTAAGGCTGAGAACTTGTAATTGCTAGTCATTACATCCTTAAAGTAACGGGTACAAATCGGATCACAGAGCTTTACCACAGTCAGTTAATATGTTGATAAAGTAACGAGAAATTAAGGTACTGTGATACAAATATAAGGCGCAGAAATGTGACGTGATAATTACAAAATTACTCGAGCAAGTGATGAATTTCCTTTCCAGACTCCCAGACGGAAGGCGGCGGCTGTGATGTCACGTAAGTGCCAATATTACACGAGTCTGCCGCTCCTCCAGCCCTACACTTGCCCTATTACGTGCGGCTATAAATGTGCGATTACCGTTTACACGTCAATAGTCACACGTAATTCGAGTGCTCATGCTCTGTTCACCACTAAGGGGCGGTGGAAGCGGTGGATGCTACGTGCTCGTTGAACCCGTCAGCTGCGCGCACAGACGATGATAGGTTGGCGATTGATTGGTCCGGAGAGCACGTACACCGCTCTGTCAGCTGGGTGAGTGGAGTAGATTCGCTTCCACGGAAAGGTTCACTTGAGATGACCATTTTTCGTTCTCTCAAAATGCAATGATTTAGTAATCGAGAAGTTTGTGCTATTAGGTGCCAGCCGAAAAAAAAGTTATGGAGTTTTTCGTACCGCAAAACCTATGCAACTCCGAAAGCTGACTCTGCAAGAAGTGATTTTTAGACATTTCCAACTGGCGGCCGTTGAGCCCACGAACACATGGAGGTAAATAGCGTTGTCTGCCAAGGACGAACGCTATTATTCTTATTAAAAACTTCAAACAATGGTTTATAATTTTTCAATCAGATAAGGTTGAGTTCTCCCATTCTGGCCGCGTACTTAACCCCTGAAGCTACAATTCAGCGAGTCGTAGTTTATTTGCTGGGAGGAAAACAAGGTTTGCGGATCTCGGCTGACACTCACTATATTTATTCAAGTCTTTGCTTGTCCTTTTTTTTTCAGAAGAAATCGTGAATCTACTACATATTGAGTGGCGGAGATGGGGATGGGTGTCCTAAATTACGCTAGTGCTTATCAGCTTTTCACAAACTGCCTCCTTGTTACCACCAGACACGCGAATTCCGTAGACAATGATGTGCGTAAGACATGCATTTTCAAAATACAAAGTTTATTTGCCTCGAAAAACTCGCGAATCACCAGTTTTGGATGAAAAAAAAAAAAAATAGAAATGTAAAGAAAGGAAATATACCTTTAAACGACCCGTGTGCTTGAGAACATATGATGTCAGAGTGGCATGCATCAAATCGGCGAAATGACAAGTCATAAGGCGTCACCAAGGAATATTGAAGAGCCCGCAAGCCAAAACAGTTGCGCTGCTCTTGTACCCAGGAGGATGCCTGCGACATCGGGTTTGGTCGTCCATCGGCCGTGTATCCAGACAGAAAGGTGAACATAGAGGAATATATAGTTTGCGCGTAGCGTTGCTAGGCATATTGTCGCTGCGATAGAACTATATTTCGAACATAGGAAAATTTAGAAAACTAGAATACGATATCTATACCCTGCTTCGTGTTATTGATAAGTAAAACTCGGAAGGTGGTACACAAAATTATTATTTACAAAATGTTTTCACTGCGAAACTGATAAAAAAAAAAAGAATACTGTCAAATTAGAGACTTGGAGCACTCAGTTGCAGACACTCTGCGCATTATCACCGAAATATATGGCTATACAAATGCAGACTCCGGTGCCAGCATTAGGATATCCCTTATAACAATAGATTAACGTGCCTAGCACATATCATAAATATTGAAAATTAAGCACGTTGTTGAGTAACTTTCACACGGCGCTTCTTAGCATAATGACAAGAGAAACGAGTCGCTCCCTGAGCGAATTTGAACTGTTTGATTGTTTGAAATCACCAAGAACCATTGACCTCCATGGTAACCCGACGCTTCCAGATCCCTCTAGATAGGAACCAACATGCTGATTAGCATATCGTCGAACGAAGTGGATGTCACAGTATACTGTCCCGGCCGCAGGGGGGCAATGAGGAGAAACCGCGCAAGTCAAGCGCGAGGGCACGTCACAGGCAGGGTCGAGCCCTCAGGGTTCCGGTACCACGTCCACGGGGGCACTCGTGCATTTTGCAGTGTTCTGTGTTCTACCGGTAGAGTGTGGGGCGCTGGCTGGCGCTCCCGGAGCACTGGCTGCCTTCGGCGACCAGGAACGGCGGCGCGAGACGTCAACCGCCGTGGCTGCTGCGGACATGCTGCTCCAGCTCCAGGGGCGACTCGAACTTGATGCGGCACTCCGGACAGCGGCCCTGGTCCTGAACGCCTTTGGCGTGGAAGCAGTCCTTGCACATGAAGGACTGCTTCTCCTGCTGCCGGCCCGTGATGATGCGGCTGGCCGCGTCCAGGGGCCGCTCACACACGCAGCACAGCGAACCCTTGTCGCAGTGCGAAATGTGGAAGCGGGCGTGCATACGCAGTTCCACTTCAGACATGAGTGTCTGTCTGCACACGACACACGGCAGTGGCAATGCGGGTCCTCCGCCATGTGAGTTGACGTGCGCCAGGAATTGGTCCTCGGAGCGAAGCACCTCTCGGCAGACGGCACACGTGGAGCCCTTGACCACTTTGCAGTGGGTGAGTTTGTGTTCGGCCAGGGTGGTGGCTGACGGACAAATTTCGTCGCAGATGTTGCACTTGTGCTTGCTTGGGCTCGCCGTGTGAGCCTTCATGTGATTTTCCAGGTCTGAACGCGACTTGCACGGTTCGTTGCAGTAGGCACAGAGCAGGCTGACGGACTTCTGGGAGCCCGAAGAGACCCTGACGTTGTGGACCTGCCTTCGGTGCGTCGCGAGGGACGCGTCCGAACTGAACGCCTGGTCGCAGATGTCGCACTTGGCCTCTTTGAGCCTGCTCTTGACGCTCAGGTTCTGCACTGCGTCTGGATGGAGCGTGAGGTCGGCCGCGTGACAGGCTTCCATGTGTTTTTCCAGGAGGAACTCCACGTGAAAAGCCTGACTGCACAGTGCGCAGGAGAATTGCTTGCCGTGCGTGTCCAGATGACTCTGCAGTAACGGCTCGCTGGCAAAAGTCTGGTCGCACAGGAGACACCTGTAGGGCGCTGCCTTCGCGAGGTGCGTTACCTGCACGTGAAGTGCGAACTCGGGCTCCGATCGGTAGGCCGCGTTACAGGCACTGCACTTGAACACCTGACACTCGTTGCTGTGCTTGACTGCGAAGTGCACTTGGACGCCCACCTTGGAGTCGAACACGTCTCTGCAGAGGGCGCACCGATACAGGTGGTGCGCGTGCATATCCAGCAGGTGCTTCTGAAGCTCGTCGGGCCTCGTGAAGAGCTTGAGGCAGGCTTGGCAGCCGTACTCCACGGAGGTGGACAGGAAGTGCGCCGCAACGTGCGACTCGAGCTGCTGCGACGAGGGGAACTCAGCCCGGCATTCGGGGCAGGACCGGGACATGCGGCCTTCCAGGTGCGATGCCAGGTGGGCCCGGAAGGACTCGAAGTCCGCCGACGGGGCGCCGCACTGGCTGCAGATGAGTGGGCCGCCACCCGAGTCCGCGCCCATCATGGCCGACATGCGTTTGCTCAGCACCTCGCTGAAGCTGTGCGCCGCCAGCGTGTGCGTTTGCAACGCGTGCACGCTGGGGAGCTTCATGCCGCAGTACTCGCATTCGTACGAGGCGTCTACCAGTGTCAAGGCAGTCGTGGCCGCGGGCGGCGAGTGTCTCGAGGGAGTTCTTCCCGCGGGGTCCAGTCGCAGGGGGCCCTGCGATGGACCCACCAACGACGCCGCCGAGAAGGGGACATGCGTGGCGCGCACGTGCGCCTGCAGAGCTTCCAGGCTGGTAAAGTCCCGTCGGCTGCAGAACCCACACGGCAGCGATGTCGGGGCCATGACCAGCGCCGAGCCCCCACGCCGCTCGGCACTCTCCTCCGAGCCTCCGTCGTCGTCCTGAGGAGTCGAGCAGCTCGACCGTTCCGGGTCCTGCCAAAACGGAAGTTATAGAGTGAGACGTGGACGCCGGAAGGTGCCAAGTGAACAGCCAACATACATCAGCGGGAAACAGGGGAAAACGTAGTCTACGGCAAGAAGCATATGCTCGAACGAGGGAGCCCCAACGACAAATAAACGGATATTCAGTTAAACGCTCAAAGCTGCTTCGCACAATTGGGATGGCTGCGTTGCACTGCGTTGTGTTGCGTTCCTTGCGCTCTACAACGCTCTGCGCGTGTTACGCGGCCTTCGGCTGCCATAGCCACCCGTCGTATCCTTGGAAGCACTCGTAAGCGGTCGTACTCGTACAGCAGTCAGTCGTACACAAAATGCGAATGATTGAACCAGCCTTCACAGCTTCGTCACTCCTAGCTACAGCAGCCTCCTTTGACATAGTCCCCGAAACTACTGAAGAGCATCTAAACGTTGGAAAGGTTGTAACGAGGCACCTCCGATATATCAGTTTCACGTTCGGATTGCGTTTTGACGGTATCAGCACATTATAGTGGTGTCAATTTTCATGCGCTCTACATCAACCGCCTACACCATGGAAGGATGATTCATCAAAGAAGTAGAATGCCTGAGTGTGTGCTTCGTTGTGCAACACACAGAGCGCCAACCATTGAGAGTGATCGATGGAATGACTAATCCCAAGAACCAAATTGAGTTACCAGCTTACAAGTGGGCACTGAGTATACAACGTATCTCATTCGGTGTATCCTCAATAAAATTAAATTGGTCAAATACGAAATGCTTTAGATTTGTTCGCTAATCAGCGCTCAAATTTTAGTCAGCTTTTTTTTTTTTTTAGTTATAAACAAAGAGAATTAGAAATGGAAGATTTCCTTCTAGCGGCAGACCTGCGCATGCGCAGCTTCACTTTACTGTACACTAAAAGAGGCTGACGGTTGGTTCTTCGGTGCATTTCAGAGAAGCACACTCTCAGGCACCTCCCTGAGTGCTCTTTACCTGCGCGACGCGAGCGCGCATGGCGTCGGTTTGTACAGTTTCCAACCGGGGAAAGGCGAATTGGAGATGGAATTCGAAATACCTCTTCCCAGTTGGAGAAATCCGCTTACAAAATCCCGACTGTTTTGACTCGGGCTTAGAGAAGCAAAGTAATCTATTTTGAATATGCAAGACGTGAGCCCACACGGAATGCGAGCGAAGCTTCCCAATACAATCCCCCCGCTCCCGAGTGTCCAGGGACGAAACGATGGACATTGCGCGAGCACACACACGCTGCACGAAAAATAAGCAAAAAAGAAACAGCCGGAGAGACAGAGCGAAGGAAAGAACTGGAGGCCACCAAACAGGGACCATAGTAAATCTATCCCTAGCCCGCTATTCATCCCGACCTGGACAGGAAGCCTTCTTTTGGGTTTTTTATCCGCCTCCATCTCGGCCGTATCACGGCGCATGCAAATAGAAGGGACCCCCGCCTCCTCGTGCGTCCGGGCTGTTTCGCATTTATGATTCTCTGTCTGCTGCCCTCGCTTTCTTCTTCTCCCTTCCTCCGAGAGGAAAATCAGTTTCTGGTCCGGCCGTCCGGCCGACTCGCTGCTCGCGCGACTCAGGTTTCCTCGAGCCCTGCAGAGATTTCGTCAAAGCCTCCCCAGATTTGCATCCGGGATGTTAGGCCTCCTGGATTACCGAGAAAAAAACCTTCGATGCTGCGTACGCGTCTAGCGTCCCGCCGCCGCCGCCGCCGGCCGCGTGCTCTTTTTCGCCAAGCTTTAGCAATTCGAGTTGAAGTCTGCGTTCCCTGGTCGAATTTTGAGAGCGAAAAGCTCATAATCTAAGATTCGCTAGGCGTCCCAGAAAGTTGTTTTCCTTTGATAGGTTGTGCTCGCGTTGAAGGGAAACAGCGATTCGTTCAGAAAATAGAGGGGAAAAAGTTTTCCTTGCTTTCGTTCCCAAAGAAGGCGGTGCCGATCACCGATTGTTATCATACAAGCTGATGGTAGACACAAGCTGTTATACCAGAGTCACTGAAAGACAGGGTGTGGCGAGGCGCACGAGCATTATAATGTGAATCCGCAACCAATGAAATAAGCCAATCAGAATGCCGAAAAACGAAGCGTGAACATTAAAAGCGCAACGCCCTTAATAGCCTTGCATATGGTCACTGGCTACGCTCGCGGTCAGCTATACGCACTTTCAAATGGTCAAACATCACGAGGCGTCAAATAAGCGAAGCTTGTTCCCTGTCCAAATTGAAGAAAGAAGAAACACGTAGGGACAAAGACAACGCAACCGCATCGTTCAACTAGCAGCGGGCACAAAAGAATGCCAAAAGCGAGCAACCGATTAAAGGCGGGAAAATCGACGAAAGGGAATGTAACTATTAAGAGAAGAAGTAAGGAAGAGGCGGTAAGATAAAATGCAAAGTCTGGTCGACGGAGTCACCTCTGATTTGAGAAATTTATCTTCAATCTTCGTCAGAAGACCGTGAGGAATTAGAAACGTTGTTGTTTGCGCTGTTCATGGCGAATGACCTCATGCTCTCCCCGACCCCATCTGCTGTTCCGCACATCGGTTAAAAGCCATTACGTCACGGTTCGACACGAACGTAGTGTTTTCTTGCCATATGCTCCTCCCGCAACTCTGCCAACAAGTTAACAATGACCGGATTCCGAGTTGCTGCACCGTCAAACATGAAAAGAAATTCATGCCAAGCAAAGAGAAGGAGGTGCACTCCATTTCCTTGAGTTGCGGGAGCCAACACATAGGTCAGACTGGCAGGTGCACAAATCACCGATTTCGGGACTCAAGTTTCCAAGGTCGCACCTGACTCCTACCATCCCATAGTCATGCACGCTCGTTCCTGCACAGACTGCAAGACCCGTTTTGAAGAGACAAGAATTTTTGGGTAAAGGGGGGGGGGGGGGGGGGGGGGGGGGGATAACAGCAGACATGGCCGGGAGGTTATAGAGCCATTCGCCATGAACAGAGCTTACAACGACGTTTCTAATCTCTCACTGTTTCTGAAGAAGAAAGATGTTTAATATCTCAAATCAGTTGACTCCATGGACCGAACTTTGCATTTTATGTTATCGTCTCTTCCCTCTATCCTCTTTTCTTAGTTACTTTCCCTTTCCTCAATTTTCGCGCCTTTAATCGGAGAAAGAGCAAGTAAACAGCAGAGCTGGTTGATGTTACACATATCTGGAAAAAAAAACAGAGACGACGGACAAAGGATTTGAAGAAAAAAAAAACGGAAACGACGGAAGAAGAAGGTTTTGAAAAAAAAACCGGAGACGACGAAAGACGATTTGAACGGTTGTGTCAATAAAGTTTAGTAGCTGCGTTTGGAGACGTTTTGTGTTTGTCACCTCCTTAGTACGTTGTCTCTAGTTTTTTTTTTTCAAAAATATATATGTTTAATCGGTTGCTCGCTTTTTGGAATTTCTATATGTCCGCTGCTAGTTGAAAGATGTGGTTGTGTTGTCTTTGTCCTACATTTTTATTCTTTCTTCAATCTTGACCCACAAAAACACGCTCTTCGTCCATTAATACTTATTCCCTGCCTCGCTCACGGACCTGCCTCGAACAGCTATTCAAATGCTGCAGCTTCATTGGAAGCTTTTCCATGGACGCGACCGCTGCACAGCGAATCGAGATTTGACAACATACGACTTTGCACAAGAATAAGAGAGAGTGAGATCAGGTGCGCGTGATTGGTCCGCTCACGATTCGCTGCGTCTCGGTTGCATCATGTAAACACAGCCATTAATTGGCTGTGTCGGCGGTCGCAACACAAGCACGCCATTTTTTTGTCGCGGAGTTATTAGTTGGGAGCGCTCATAGATGTTTGCAAGCAGTCACGCTGCAAACGCTAGTCTGGCCACCCCCGTGGCCACCAGGGGTAGAAAATGCCTTGTTTTTAACCCATCTGGCAACCCAGTCGATCTACGCACGCCAACAGCAAGATGGTGGAGCCCTTGCAAATAGAGCACCGGAGCGTATCACTCTAAGAAATGCCTGCGCGTCTACTTACCCGCAAAACACTCAAAGAGCCAATCCCTGCGATTCACGAAATCAGCTCAGCGAATGATGAGGCGGAAAATCCGTTTAGATCTAATAAGGAAATCTGCGCAATGCAAAGCGTTATGCTTGCATTGCGTAATGCCACAGTGGGGACTTAATTTTAAGGTCTAATCAGATGTTCCGCGTCATCATTCGCTGAGCTGATTTCGTAGATCGCAGAGATTGGCTCTTCGAGTGTTTTTCGGGTAAGTACGGTTAAGTACACGCACAAGCATTTCTTAGAGTAGACCCAGTCAGCATGGCGGTGAAGCGAGGGAGCGTACCGTTCTGCATCCGTTGATCTGAAGCTCAGTGCTGGCTGGCAGTGGACTGCCCGCGGCGGGGCTCAGCTTGCCAGTGGAACAGGACGAGCTGTCGTCCCGAGACAACGACGTCTGCAGGCACAACACGTTGGGCGGTCAGAGTCACATAGGGAGTAACGGCGCCGGACACAAATTAGCGGAACATTTCTGGTTGACAATCAACCATGGAGTATATTGACCAAACGATTTTGCACATGAGCCCATCAGCGGCGAGGCAACTATATACACTGTTTAGCGAGATCATTAATGCCGTCACGGAAGATGGAGTTTATTTTGGTCATATCTCGAAGTGTTTCGGGTCTGAACAAGCGAAAAATGTCTCACCGAGCCATCGGCCGTAGGCGCTGCCAGAATCCCGTTGGTGAGCAGACTGGAGCCCAGGCTGGGCCTCGCTGCGCCGGGAGGCTCCAGCACGCCCGGGCCCTGCCTGTTCGGGCCGGAGGATGCGTTTTTGCGGTGGTTCTGCATGTGCGAGGTGAGGGCCGCGGCAGTGTTATAGCCCCTGTTGCACATGGCACATTGGAAAGGCTTGGCGTGGTCGTGAGTCTTCATGTGGATCTTGAGGTGGTCGGAGCGGGAGAAGGCCGCCTCACACTGGGAGCAGCGGTACTTGCGATCGCCCGTGTGCAGCTTCACGTGGCGGTCGCGGCTGCGCTTGTGCTTGAACAGCCGCTGGCAGAAATCGCAGCGGAAGGGCATCCGGTCGCTGTGCACCTGCAGCCCAGAGGAGTCGCGAAGGGTGAGTGTACACCGAAATAGAATAAGACGCCTAGGTACAAGGGTTGGGTATGGGTTCAGTAAACCAATGGCTCAATTTCGCACGATTTAATCAGCCACTAACACCAAGTCGAAGGCAGGCTTTGAGAGACAAAACTCTGACAGTGAAAGGCTTACGTTATTAAGTCGTAGAAAGCATTTCTCAAAAAAAGGAGAAGGAATGTTGTAGCAGATATAGCACCTACACGATACAAGTATTTAATAAAAAAAAAAGCTATTCGGCTATTTTGGACGACAGAAGATGCCTCTTTGAAGCCTTAGTATCTCTGTTCGAGCGTCGCCAAAAGGATCAGAAAAAAAAATTGATGTTGATAACAAACGAATCAAGTTTGGAGTGCCCACATAACGTCCTAAGGCCCAGAGTAACGGGTATTGTTCAGAAATGTTTCACGAGGCAGCAAATACCCTGCGATTGCCTGTAACGTAATCAAGCGCGCAAACATCGCAAGACATACATTTCATGTTACTTTTGTAAGAGTGTAATAAAGGACATAGCAATGTCTGGTTACAACGAAAGTCCCTCTAGTTACACCGGTTTCGAGGACAAGCAGAAATAAGAATATGCAACGCAAGTCTCTTCTCCGAACACTTCCGCGAATGAGCAGCAATTGTCCGCCGTTATCCGGGAAGCTCGGCATCTCCGATGTGGCACCCAGCTTGGTGCCGTCAACGCGGTCGATGGCGCATCAATACGGTGCGCCTTATCCCGCCACGCTCGGTTGCGTATACGAAGGGGCCCGGCTGCAGCTGCCGGAAGGGCCAGAGTCTCGTCAGACTCGGAAGGATAGCGCAGAGGAAAGGTGAGCCGACTGGCGGGCCCGGCGAGTCCCAAGAAGCGCGCACCTTGGCGGGCAATGTTCTCGAGGGTGAGCTAATCAGCGTGAGGGCCAGCAGAGTGGGACAACGCGGGCCGAAACGCGACTGGTCGATTCCCGGTCCCCGGGGACAATCACGATTGACGGCAAGGCGCAATTGCGGACCATTAGCGGGGCCCCTGAGATAAACAGGCTGAATCGGACACTGCGCCGGCCTCGGCGAGCGGTCGCCGGCCCTGGGGTAACCGACTGGCGATAATCCACTTTGGTCCTGGCCGCCAAGCCAGGGATGGCTCAAATTGGATGATCCAAATTGCGTTGTCGCACCTAGGCGCTTTTTGGCCCCTTTCGCTCTCTCTTCTCTCGGCCGGCTGCCACAATATTCGCGGTCCACAGATTAGGCCTAAGCACGTTAATGTGGATCGGGTAACCGCATTGCGGGCAGGGACTTGGGCTCCCGAGGGACTCGCGGCGGAGTCTGGCCAGCGTCAGCTGTCTTTTCGACTCCGGCAGGGGCGCGCCCGCCTCTGCGGTCGCCCGGGGACTGGCTTTGTTTATGTGCGCGACCCGCGCTCCCCGCAGCGGGGCCGGACACTCCCGCCTCAGCAAAGATTTATAGCATTCTTTATGAAGGCCGAGCAACAGGGGACCGTCCCGCTGCCGCCACGGATGTCGCCCTCATCAGAGCGGGCAAGTCGATCTATAGGCTGCTCGTGGGTCCCGCCGACCTGCCCCGAGCCATAATTGCGGGCACTGGGGACATCAAGGGGGAACAATGCTCGACCCAATCGATGCGTTCGGCACTTGCAACGACGGTCGGCTGCACGCCGGCGCAAGTGCTCCTCGAGACTGCTCGGGGCGGTCCGCGCGCGTTGGCGCGACCGCCTCGTCTTGACTCCGCTCGGAGCCCCGAAAACGCCTTCTTTTTTTTTAATCGCACGCATGCGTAGGAGTTAAAAGTGACGGCGATTGAACTTTGAAAATGCACCCGACGCAAATGCTACCGGTTAATTGCCTCTGTGCGTTGCACACGCATTATAACTTTCACATTTCCAATTGAAGCGCCTATGCTCGTTGCATTCGTTTGTACATTATAGGAACTGCCCGGGCAGCCCGTTTCGCTTGCACTCAAATAGGCAGAAGGATCGAAAAAAAAAAAGATTGACAATATCTAATGTGCTTAACGAAACGAAGAAGTTTGGGCGACCGTCTTCATTTCGGTTATCGCACGAGGCTCAGCAAACTAAAATAAACACACTCGGTAGTGCTTCACTTCCAAGTTTCGTAGCCCAGAGACGCGTCCGGCTATTATAAAGAAGACCCGGTTAGTTTAGACGTACATACGAGGATCGAAAGTTCAACGCCGCGTGTGACCGAACAATCACAGATTGGGAAGGACACGAGGCGTAATTGTTGGCGAGCAGCTGATCCTTCTACTGGGAAGCTATGTGTCCGGCGTACAAACTAAAAAAAAAATCCCGTGCGTCTACTTTCCCGCACAACACTCGGAAAGCCAATCACCGCAACTTACGGAGGCAGCTCGGCGAATCGAGCTGCCTCCGTAACACTCGGAGAGCTAATCACCGCAACGGTGATTGGCTCTCCGAGTGTTGTGCGGGAAAGTAGATGCACGGGATTTTTTTAGAGCGTAGACTTAAGCTGAAATGAGAGTAGGTTATGTACAGAAATGAAACGACACGATCCCAAAGAGAACGTCGAAATCCAACCCCAAAGTGCCAGGGTTGCCAAGCTTCTCAAAGAGATTGCAGCGACTGTGCCGTGACCGCGCAACTTGGCGAACGCACGTAGAAAGTATACGCGTGCACTTCTACCACGTCGCTGCGCAGTGCGAGTGAGCCAAGGGCCAAAGCGGACAGGTGTCCCGACCGGTGGTTGGCTGAAGAGGACACCTACCTGTTCGTGCCGCTTGAGGTAGCTGAGTCTGGGGAAGGCCTTGTCGCAGAAGTGGCAGGCGTAGGGCGTCGCCTCGGTCACCCCGATGGTGAAGGACAGCTCGGAGTCCGAGCACGAGGCCGAAGCCGGGCCGCAGGCCAGCAGCGAGGGCGGCGGCGACAGCGACGCCGACGTCAGCTCGTCCTCGGGGCTGTCCGACGAAGAGCGCCAGGACGAGGGCGTGCCCGCGCCGCCGCTGCCCGAGCCGCCCGGAGCTGCCCCTGGGGACGAAAGCGGAACGCGCTCAGCACCGAGCCGCCGGACCTGAGGGTCCGCCGACGCCCCGACACAGCTGGACACGCAGGGCTCGCTTACGTAAGCGAGCTCGCAGACGCTGCCGGCATCCGCCAAACGCTCAAAGGTCCCGAAACGAAACGAAGAAAAAAAATTGGAAACCGACGATTCCTTCTTTTTTTTTTCTTTTGCCGGGAGAAGACCAAGACCACTGATCTCTATGACCAAGACCGACTGGTAGGCTTTGTCCAGTATACATATGTGTGTGTGAGTGTATGTGTGTGTGTTTGTGTGCGTGTGTGTGCGTTTTAAATAACAAATGCGACGATAAGTTTCTTGGCCGGGAAGCGCGCCTCTGGAAAGAGTGAAAGGGCGGGACGTTCGAATAGGCCAGTCGTGGCGCCGGAATCGCCTCAAGGACTTGTTCCACAAGCTATTCCGAATACGCGACTCTGCGTAGCTCTTAAATTCAGATATACAAAATTCTACAATTGCGTTCTAGTTTTGTGTCTTATATATATATATATATATATATTTTTTTTTTTTCGCGATAGAAATTTTAGACAGAAGAGCTGGATTCGAAAATGGACGCGAGAAGAAACTTCGCACCAGAAACACACTATAGATTAAGCATGAATGCAAGGTGTTGTAATGAATGAGAGCAGCACAAAAGTTTGTTGCGTTGGCCGCCTGTCTCTTACTTATGTTCTTCAGTTTCGGGTGGTCGGCATAATATGACATATATTTTTTTTTATTTATTTATTTATTTTTTTTTTGCTTTTACAGCATACAGCATACTGGTAAAGCATTATTTATTTCAGGCTTCATCATTAGCTCAGTTCTGCGTCCTCTTTGGGGGGGGGGGGGGGGGGGGGGCTTTGCCACTCGGCTGTTACGTTACATTTTTCCTCCCCTTTTCCTGCCCACTCCAGGAACGTTCCTTCCTCCAAAACGTTAGCAAAGAAGTTATGCTTGGATTCATATCGGAGTGCCCACAATGCTCTCTCCAACATCCGTTAAAATTTCACCATGATCGAAGCCCAAAGTAATTCGGAATTCAGGCTTTCTGTGTGTACGAGGGGTGCCCCATACATGTGTACCGGAGCCGCACGGGTTTATTCCACAACACTATCAAGCTATGCATATCCCGAATGCACGCGCAGGAACGTCGAAGCATACCAGAAAACAAGAAAATAGAGGCATATATAGCTCCGACATTTCAATACGGTCTTTGTTCGCCGCGAACGCGACGACGGCTTCCTGACCGCGGAGACGCCCGCTCTGAAATGTGTCGCTCGTGATATCTTGCTCCCGAAAAATGATGCCGTTCGTGGCCCCGTTGCATCGGAGGAATAAAAAGTGCGCAGGTGCCCCGCCCCCCTCCCCAACCGTTGCCGTGCTTGTCGCGGGCGACTTCGTTGGCGAGCCTCGGGCAAGTGGGTTAGAGGGCTACTCCCGGCGGGGCTACTCCCAGCGAGCCAGCCGTCGGCACGCAGGGAACGCAAGTGCGCACAACGGCCGGGCAGGCAGACGCGCGCCACGGGAGGTCGCGCCTCGCCCGGGGACCGGGCGCGTTTAATAACTGGCGTCCAAAAAGAAGGAACCCCCACAATGGCAGTCCGGGACCGCAGCAGACGCGCCATAAAGACGTGCCGGTGCACCCCCGACCGTGACCCCCCCTCCTCCCCGCGGAACACCCACCAGCCGAACGAAAGGAAAAAATAAACACGCCAACGGATCTCAGCAAAAAAAAAAAAAAGGAAAACGAAAGAAAAGGGGGGCGCGGAAAAGGGCCGAGTTCCGAGAACCCCGGAGCAGTCTCGGGCGTCTCGGAGCAGCAACAGCGAAGCCCCCCGTCTCGTATGGGACGGTCGGTGCCGGATTTTCGGGGTGCCAGCCCCACGACCTTCCTTGCGCGGTCCGTCACGGCCCGAAAGGACGGGCCGAACAAGCAGAAAAAAGCCCCGTTTTGAGGCTTGTCTAAATCAAGCGTTCGACCCGGCAGCTCCACCCAGTTGGGCGCCAGTGGGCTTATGTTTTGGCCCTGTTTGCTTGCGCGCTCCCGCTCTGCTCATCCGAGCTGACAACTCAATGGAGGAAAGCGCGGGGACCGGGGTGAGCCCCCGGGAAGCCTCCCCGGAGCGGGCCACAAAGGAAGCGGGAGCACCTCCGCCGAATTCCGAGAAGGCCGGACAGCCGACGGCAACAGGTAGATTTATCGGAGACGTCTTCATCGTCCTCTCCCGAGATGCTTGTCTCTCGGGCGCCCGGGCTCCCTCGGGGCTCCGCAGGGTCCCGCTGGCCCTCGCCGCCGGCCGCCGCCGATAGCGGGACCCCCTTGCATGCCCTCGCCTACGGGGACACCCGGTCGGGCCGAACGCTCGCCACTCGCCCAAGATGACGGCGTCATCGCAGCGCGTCGACGCCGGCCCATAGTTGGACGTCCTCATGAATGAGCTCGCAGTTGGGCGAAGAAGCCCGGGGCCGCCGCGCGTAAGCTGTGTACGTGAGCCCCATCAAACCGGAAACTCGCGCTGCGGCCGCCATAAAAGTTTTCACCTGGAAACCTCCACCGCCGATAAGGTCTTCCAAAAGAAACCAAGCGAGCCAGTACGCGAGTCTTCCCTCCTCCCACAAAAAGGGAAAGAAAGAGGGGTGAGTGCAGTTAAAAAAGAGACCGCATTTTAAGGTTTTCTCGATGCCGCCGCTCTCGCAGTCAGCGCTTTAGCACCTTATCTGGCTCAGCAACTTGGCCGGCGCAGATTGGAGCTCGAGGCCCATGTCCAGCCAAAGGGAACGCGAGACGTGAATAAAGAGAAGCCGAGGAACCGGCCCCAGGGACGCGGTCCACACCGCCCGGAGCGGACGCGTGGGCCCTTTTACGACTTTGTTTTGGAAGCCAGCGACGGAGGGGTCCTGCGCGACGGAAGGTGCGGCCCCGACTCGGCGTGGCCCGGGGCAAGCGGCGGGGGAGCGAAGAGTGTCACCCGCGTGGCGGACTCGCCGCCTCGCACGCGAGCGTCGGGCTCTAATGAAGTGAGTGAGCCGGATGCCACCCACCGCTGCGCTCCTGCTCTCCCCTCGGCACCGAGCGTGCGCCGCGCTCGTGTGCTGGGGGGTCCTCGGCCTGATGCGGCGATAGCCTCCCGCGGGACGCCAGACGGGGGCCTGCGCGGCCGCGCCTCCCGCCGCTGGACAACGGCGCGCGCGAGGGGAGGGCGCCCGCGCGACATTTCCTCGGAAACACGCGCGAGGCGACCGGGCCCACCTGAATGGGCGAGATACACTCGGAGGTCGGGCGAGGCCCCAATCAATCTTGCGACCTCTGCTGCCTTGGCACCGACCAAGTCTCTCTCCGACAGCCTCCATTCTTTGTCTTTCTATCGTTTCGTCTTCTCCCGCTCAGCTCCCCTATTGCGTTCTGAAGGTACGATGGTTGACACAAGGTCAAATGTGAAGTCTTCATGAAGATGGCATCTCGCAACCATGTCTTTCTTTCTCTCTAAAACTGAAGTTTTGTTACGGGAGAGAACGAAAGCAACTCCATTCAAATATGTAATCAGCTCGATCGGCTATCCACAGTCACGTGGCTTCCGCAGTATCGTGGGCTGCTTAGCAGTTAATCGGGTCATCATGTGCTCACGCCATGTCGTCCTCAAACTAACGATGCCTATAAAACACGCGAAGAGTGATCACTTTTCAATTTTTGTTTAGCTCTGCGAAGCGACGCTGCATATTCGCTGGCCCATATGATGCGTCGTAATGTTAACGGCAACCGAACCCGAGGGAAAGTACACGCGCTAGTATTTCATAGGTCACCATTGGTGGCTTGCAAGACGAACATCGCGCGAAACTCTGGCGGGGGCCGCGTGTGCCCGTTGTCTGTAAAGTGTTAACGAAGGCACCCTCCGATAAATTTTAAGAATAAAGGAAACAGCGTCCGACTTGTCAAAAAAAATTATGAAAAACGCGGACCTCTTAATCGAGAAGACAACCTCATGGGAAATACAGACATTTTCCTGAACGCCGAATTTAGATCTTTTCTCGTTTTCTCCTAAACCTACACACAAAGATTGCTCTCGCGCACGCATCTCATGCGTGCGCGAGCGTCACACTAGTACATATGTTTGCACTGTTCGCATACTTTCAGTTTTCGGTGTGAGCACCCCCCTTGTCTGTTGTTGTTGATGTTGTTTTCTTTTCAGATAATTTCACACATAAACGATACACAAAGTAGCCACCTCGTTAACTGCGCTCGACAAAGATGTAAGCAGAAGAGGAGACGTGGCGATATACCAAGGCTCCTGCAATGCTGAAACTAGGTTTAGTCTTAGCCAACTTGTAATATCCTCAATTTCCTTTTCTCACAGGAGAAAAGAATCGACGCATTGTTTGCAAGCATCGACTCCGAAAAAACTCAAACATCCCGCGTTCCTCTTTAGTTTACTGTCCAAAAGAAATGTGATACTTTGTGCCGGGCCAGGCGTGCTGTGGCGTCGTCCGGATAGGAGCTGCGCCCCAGCGTGTCCCGACGCTTCTCTCGGTTCGAACGCCAGCGAGCCGACGACGGCAGCGACCGGCCCGAGCCTAAACACTCTCGAGCGACCAAACCCATCTGCTCGGGAAGCGCGGCGGTCGGTTGGAGACCGCGTCAGCGACCAGAAAGCGTTATCCCCGCTCCGCATAAATCAAAACCGTCCACAGAATATAGAAAAACACTTTAGCAAAACCCACCGATCGTATATCTCGGTCCCCACATTTCCCGTTTCGCCCGTATAGTTGCTGCCCCTGTGACAGAAAAGGGGGAAGGTGGGGGAGGAGGATAGGAAACATCTAACTGTGAAAAACGGACTCGGGGAGCTAAGGAGTGCGGAGGAAATATTGAGCTACCTGGGACTCCCTTCCGCGGACCCGCCAAGTGTTCTCCGCCTTTCCCAGTCCCCGTAAACACCCGACACAAATAACTTGGGTAGAACACAAAAGAAAG